CACCCCCCCCCCCCCCCCCCCCCCCCCCCCCCCCCAAAAAAAAAAAAAAAAAAACACACATACACACCATTATATATGCAATTTTTTGATATAAGACCATGAATTTAAAGTATTTATGTTGTAGAAACTCGAGATACGGAAGAGTGAATAATATCGATATTTGGGTCTAGTATCCATGAGTCTAACATTGGGGATGGTGATACTCCTAGAATTAAAGCAGGATGGACTAAATGGAGCAATGCATCCAATATATTTTGAGATAGACATCTACCGTTTAACCTCAAAGGAAAGTCTATGAGAGAATCACAAGACCAATTATGATTTTATAGTATTGAATCTTGGGTAACTATAAAACATGTCCAAAAATTTGAGTGTGATAAATTTGAGAATGTTAAAATGGATGTGTGGCGAAACTAGAAATCATAGAATTAGGAATAAGAATATCAGTAAAAAAGTAAAGACAACACATATAGGAGAAAAATTAAGGAATAATCGACTTAGGTGATTTTAAAATATTTATAGACAACCTATTATTGCACCAATGAGAGAGTGATGTGATAGTTTATGGATGGTAATAGAAGGGGTAGAGGAAGACCAAATTTTAGTTTAAATGAAATAGTAAAAGGGTATATTATAAGAATCATAGAAAGTATGACCCTTAAAAAATACAATGGTGGAACAATATTCATGTAAACGACTCCAAAAATGTTGGGACAAGGTTTTCTTGTGTTTATAATCTATTGTAGAACAGATTTGTGGGCAGGTCACTTTGTGCAAGTAATGCCAAAGGTTAGGTTTATACCCAATCTATCATTCATTCCCAGACCCCTTGTTAATGGGGATTAAAACTGGGCGCAATTTATTGTAAGATAGGTCTGAGAGTTCTATTTACCACTTGAAAGATCTGGCAGTAACATGGCATCTAGTTGATTAATCAATCTCAACTTTTCTCCTTTTCATACTGTGGAACTTGAAATTTCAACTTGAATGGCCTTGAAAAATTGTAAACATGATATTCTGATGGTCTAGTTTAGTATAATTTTCCAAGTCTGGACTGGAATTCCGTATGAATTTTGATTTCGCTTTTGCGTTGGCAAAGATTAACATCCAGATAACAACTTTCTGCAGGGAATATTTATATGGAGAAATGTGGGGTATCGAAGCTGAAGAAAGCCGGTGAATGTTTTTCTCTGGCAGGATGTTATGAGCGTGCAGCTGACGCTTATGCGAAGGGAAATTATTTCCCCGAGTGCTTGTCAGTTTGTACCAAAGGGAAATTTTTTGAATTGGGTTTGCAATACATTGAATACTGGAAACAACTTTCAACCATGGATGATGGTATGGTCACAAGAAGTAAAGATATGGACAAGATTGAACAAGAGTTTCTACAGAGGTCTGCACTTAACTATTATGAGCTTAAAGATAACAGATCCATGATGAAATTTGTTAGAGCTTTCCACTCAATGGATTTGAGACGCAATTTCTTGAAGTCTTTAGATTGCCTTGATGAGCTATTATTGTTGGAAGAAGAATTGGGAAACTTTGTGGAGGCTGCGGAGATTGCTGAACTGAGAGGAGATCTTCTGCTTGAGGCTGATCTTCTAGGAAAGGCAAGACATTTCAAGGAGGCTTCCTTACTCATCCTTTGGTTTGTGTTTTCCAACTCTCTATGGGCACCGAATAGTAGAGGTTGGCCATTGAAGCTGTTCACGCAAAAAGAGGAGCTTTTATCAAGAGCTAAGTTATTTGCAAGGAATGAATTGGATCCCTTCTACGAGTTTGTCTGCACTGAGGTTAAAATTTTGTCACATGAACAGACTAACTTCTCTGAGTTGAAGCAATATTTCAATGCTTCCCAGCAACATAAAAGTCTCAGAGGTGAAATATTATGTGTTTGGAAAATTCTGGATGCCCATCTTGACTTGAACACCTCCAAGTATGACTGGGAAGATGAATTGTCAGTGGATCTGAGAAAGCACTCAGAGGATAAGATTTCACAGAATCGGGTTTCTCTTGAAACACTAGTTTATTTTTGGCGTCTATGGAAAGAAAACATTGTGAATATCTTTGATTACCTTGCGGGTATTGAAGCTGAAAATTTTGGCAATTATATTGTTTTTGAGAAGTTCTGTTTGAACTATTTTGGTGTGCGAAGGAAATTTAATAATCAAAACAGCATTTACCTCATGCTGAAACCTGATGCTGATTGGGTGAGAACTATTGATGACAGATCCACTAGGAGGATTGGGAAGTTGCTCAGTGCTGATGCCAGCCATTTTGTTTCTGCCGCTAGGAGTCATTGGTGTTCAGAATTATTTTCTGTTGGTATCAAGGTGTTGCAAACTCTTGAAGCCCTCCATAAGTTCTCAACTACGAATTCCTTGTCTATGTTTTGCCAAAGCATGCCTCTCCGTCATATCTTTGAGGTCGCAAAATTTCTTCTGGACTTCAAGTTTCTTCTTTGCAATAATCATGATAGAGGAACATTGCAAAATTTTGTTCAATTATCTACTATCTACTTTGTAGACGTTTTTCCTTTAGACTGTCGGAAATCATTGACAGAGAATATGATCCATCTGAGAAGGACTGAGCTGTCCCGGACTTTACTTGAAGAAGTTGTTCATGGAAACATCAAGGGTAAACTGACCTATGGGCAAATTGGGAGGGTGGTTATGATGTGGCTTTGGTCTGGAAAACCCACAGAGGAGCTGTACAAGAAGATTGAGGACAGGTTCAAAGACAATTCATCTTGGAAAGCATTGGTTCAGAACCTCAGTGGGAAAATAATGCCAGAATCTTCGGAGGAGTCACCATCGAGCATTTCTGATGAAGCTCCAAGTGCAATCTCTTTGATTTGCAAGTTCCATAAAGCTTTGGAAGATGCTTATAATGCCAATTGGAGAAAAGAAGATGACTATATATCACCAAGTTGCTTCTTGTATCTTCTTGACCGCCTANCATTGTGAATATCTTTGATTACCTTGCGGGTATTGAAGCTGAAAATTTTGGCAATTATATTGTTTTTGAGAAGTTCTGTTTGAACTATTTTGGTGTGCGAAGGAAATTTAATAATCAAAACAGCATTTACCTCATGCTGAAACCTGATGCTGATTGGGTGAGAACTATTGATGACAGATCCACTAGGAGGATTGGGAAGTTGCTCAGTGCTGATGCCAGCCATTTTGTTTCTGCCGCTAGGAGTCATTGGTGTTCAGAATTATTTTCTGTTGGTATCAAGGTGTTGCAAACTCTTGAAGCCCTCCATAAGTTCTCAACTACGAATTCCTTGTCTATGTTTTGCCAAAGCATGCCTCTCCGTCATATCTTTGAGGTCGCAAAATTTCTTCTGGACTTCAAGTTTCTTCTTTGCAATAATCATGATAGAGGAACATTGCAAAATTTTGTTCAATTATCTACTATCTACTTTGTAGACGTTTTTCCTTTAGACTGTCGGAAATCATTGACAGAGAATATGATCCATCTGAGAAGGACTGAGCTGTCCCGGACTTTACTTGAAGAAGTTGTTCATGGAAACATCAAGGGTAAACTGACCTATGGGCAAATTGGGAGGGTGGTTATGATGTGGCTTTGGTCTGGAAAACCCACAGAGGAGCTGTACAAGAAGATTGAGGACAGGTTCAAAGACAATTCATCTTGGAAAGCATTGGTTCAGAACCTCAGTGGGAAAATAATGCCAGAATCTTCGGAGGAGTCACCATCGAGCATTTCTGATGAAGCTCCAAGTGCAATCTCTTTGATTTGCAAGTTCCATAAAGCTTTGGAAGATGCTTATAATGCCAATTGGAGAAAAGAAGATGACTATATATCACCAAGTTGCTTCTTGTATCTTCTTGACCGCCTACTGATCCTAGCATTTAACGTCCAGGGATTCTTTGTCACAACAAAATCTTCAACTGTTGAATGGCTTATTTATCAGCAATGGATGGCGAACCCAGCTGACAGTTCTGCAAATGGCTTTCAATCATCTCTGGCAGCTGTGTATGACTTTGTGGTCTCCATAATTCGGCAGTTTCTTTCTAATAGACAGGATATAGAGGAATGGATTAAAAAATCTAAAATAAATTTCGAGAACTATTATCCACTGCTGGTGACAAGACTGGTTAGTATTTTTTGTTTAATTTGTGTGAACTCTGGAAGATATTTTGATATACTTCCTCAGTTGCTTGGAAGGGATAACATTACTTCACAGCTACCAAAGGAACTCTGTGGCGTTCTTCAGCGAATGAGGAAGGGCAATGGTTTTAAAATGAATGCAAATGTGCTTGCAGAAGCATTCAAAAGGATTGGAGATCCTCTCGTGATTGTGAGCTTGAGAATAAATTGTGCAAACTTCTTCTGTCCTGATGCCATTTTGGTGGACATGGGGGTAACCCAATGCAGGGAGGACATTATAAGAGTCTTGTTTCCTAGGAACACCAGAGCTCCCCCAGGCAAAACTGCTTCTGCTGAAGGAGATATGTCTAATTCTTGCAAGAAAGGGATTTCTTTGAATGGCGAGGATGGATCGAATGTACCTAACTGTGACATCTTCTAACTTTGCTCCCATGGAAGATCAGAACATGAACACAAAGAATGAAAATGATCAAGACATAAAAATTAACTGGGGCATATTTAAGGAAATATCTGATGCTTTAGAGTTGGTTGAAAGTAGAAAAGATGGAAATTTGATGAAATTTGAGTCCAATGCTTCCAAGATGAAGGTAATACCAAGTAGGTTATTATTATGTATGGCGCCACTATAAATTATATTCCCAGATAGCTGTTACCTAATATATTTATTGTTTATCTATATTTTCAGGAGCAAGTGGAGGGAATTCGTTTCTTCTTGTTGGGAGCAACTAGCCAATGCTTAGAGAAGAAATTTTGTGCTGGTGAAGATGGAAACCTTTCTGCTGAAGCAAACAACATGCTTGAGGAATTGAAGCAACTTTCATCTGCATTAGATATGAGGTAAGTTCATTTCTGTAGCTTGTATCATTGTGAGAACCTTGCCTTTCTATTTCATTTAGGGTATACTAACGTTAGACTGACCTTAACTTGGTAAAATTGTAGTCAAAGTTAAATTCTTACCAGACAGTCCTTATTTATCTGTTGTGCATAGTTTGCAAATGATTGCGTGTATCTAGAGTTTGCATTGCATCAACAAGTCTAAAGGGCTCTTGATGAGGAGCACGGTTACAAATTGAAATTCTCTGTTCACATACAAATTGAAATTCTGTTTTTTTTAGCAGATTTTATGCTGGCTTGTTAAGCAGATTTTTAGCCAGTAGTTGTCAAGTTTAAATTCATATGTTTGTTATTTCTTTAGGAAACTGGTTTTCACCTGGTAGTTCTGTAATGTATTTGAATTTCCTTGTTTTTCTCAACCTCCTATTCTATAAAGGAGGACTTGATCAATAACATAAAGGGCAGAATGTCGAATCCAAAATTTTCTGGCTTGAAGTGTGCCACTTCCTGTCTGGCGTGACATCAGAATATTGAGAGCTGCGTGAGTGAGACTCTCACCAGACCCTCTTTCTATCTTTTCCCCTATATGTCCTGCATCTGCTCTTGGTTGAGACGGTTCTCTATTAGTGAAAAAACCACATCTATGAACCAAACGTCCAACTAATACATTTCTGTTTCAGCTTCCAAATTATATGCTGAATCTTGTTGGGTCTTGGACTGTTTTTTCAGTGACCCGAAACATGAGAAAAACCTTTCAAGCATTGGAGAACTTTCGAGGAGGTTGCAGTCAAGGTTGTCTTGGCTAAAGACTTCTTTCTTGAACCCTTTAGTCTCTCATAAAGATACAAATGTGAGCACTGTCTCAAGACGAGATGGAAGCTGACATTAGCAAGTCTGAGGAAATCGGCAAATCTAATGAAGGCAACATGAAGGATTTGAGGGCTATTGCTGCTTCTGAAGGCCAAAGCAATGCTAGCAATGATGCTGCTGAAAGAAGCAAGGGCAAAAGAAATAAAAAGTCTAAGAAGGGAAAAAAGGGGAAAGGAGGTCGGAAGAACTAACCATGCCATAGACCCCAAATGTTTTTTATACATCTTGCAGTCTATTTAGGTTGTGTTCATATCTCTGGTGATGGTGATAGACTGATAGTTTGATGAGTTGAGTAAAGGTGGGTTAAATCAAAAGGATAATATGTATGTACGTGGGTTAGTGTGGATTGCACTTTCTTCTGGCTGTTGTTGGAAGGTAATAGAATTAAGTGTTTTGGGTATTCTACATATGTTGATATTAGCAGAGACTTTGATTGGAATCACATATCCAACATAAATATTTCTTACACAGCATTGAGGTGAAATGGCGTGTCTTCAAGGAATCAGTAATGCTATTTGGACCTGATCATTTGACTTAAATTACTTAATTTGATGACTATACCTGTTATTTGATTAGCAATGGATACTAGATGTTAAAGCGGTTTTTGTCGATCAAGTCAAATTACGTCCACGTAGCAACCAAATTAGTTTCAACGAAGGATTGAGCACACCCAAATTTGCATTTGATATGTTTTTTGTGATTTATTTCTCTAAGATGAATTTTTTCATTGATGAATCCTTGGGATGACAAGGCTATAAAATCTATAATATAAAAAATAGTAGGTTTCAATAAGTTTATCCGACGATTTCAAATAGAATCATCTAACGTATCGTAGTTAAAATCAATTTAGGATTAGTTTAGCAGTTAAAGTTTTTAAGTCTTCTTTAGATTGTAACCAAAATTTTTATGACACAAGCTTTTATGTTAAAAAAATCTTTCTTTATCATGTAATGGCAGAACCTTTGTTAGGAAGATTGGTTTTGAAGCCTTGACGTGAAGCTTGCTTTGACGTTGCGTTTTTTTGCTTCGTATTTCTCCTATAATTTTTTCTTTGATTAAATTTTTTAAGTGCGTGCGAGATATTTGAGTGTTTCATATTATTTTAAAATCTTACATCGGGGCGGAGATGCATAGCAGTGCCGGCCCAATCTTTAGGCTTGTTAGGCCATTGCCTAGGGCCCCAAGTTGGAAGAAATATTTGGGGCCTCAAAATAAAATAAATAATAATATTTAATTAAAATTTTAGAATATAATTTAAATACTCAATATATTTTAATCATTGAATTAATAGTGAGTGCTAACTTTAAACAAAATTTACTATTTATCTAATGTATTTGGTCTTCAAATTAAGTGCAAATAGCTTAATTGTAAAATTTTTAGAACCTCTTTCAAAAAAATTTAGGACCCTAAAGTTCAACTTATTTTATTATCTCACCCAATATTTATATTATATATATTCTCACTTTGCAGTCTTATTATTTAAATCAATTGTCTATCGTATAATAGATACATACAATAATTTTATATTTGTATTAATTAAATAAAAAGTCATTTTTTAATAACTTTGTTTACGATGCACAAGATGACTATAAATAGAGTGAATAGAAATAATGCACTAACTATCTTTTTTATTTAAAAATAGCTCTTTTTCTTTATGATATCCAACAAGTAAGGGTAACCCGTGCTTTCAGGCACAGTTCAACATAAGTGAGAAGTAATAGATTTAGGGGAAAAAATTGAATGGATTTGATAGAGATGCTAGTGACCATTGGATAAGTTTATTTGAAACCGTCAAATAAGCTTTTTGAATCCTGCATTTTTTATATTATAGAAGTCTCATTTATTTTAGGACTACTCAACCTGTATAAATTCCTATTTTTATATACATTTAGAAAAAAAATAATATTTTACTAGTCAAATTAATTTTCAATTGTGTTTCTCTTTTATCTTAAATAAATAGTATGTATCATTGTATTTGATCTCCGTATTTGACTTCGATTAATACAATTTTTATTTGTAAAATTTAAATTTAAAATTTAATTAGTACGTTATATCTCAAGAGTCAAAACAAAGAATTTGTAATAAACATATTTTAATAAGTATTTAATCTTATTATTATTACTGAATAAATATTTATAGGGCTTCATATAACATTTTCGCCTAGGACCCAAAATTAGGTTGGGCCGCCCCTGATGCATAGTTGAAGACGGCAAGATGCAGGTTATTGAAAAATAGAGAGGATTGTGACGATTCAGAAAAACAGGTATGCACGTAGTGCTTGAAAAATTGGTGGATCAAAATCAAGGGTACTAAGCTCGATCTTGGGCATCACCAAATTTAATTATTATGAATAAAAATTTGTTGGGTAATCAAAGTAAGAATCCTATATGGAATAGAATTATATTTGAAGGTTTTTAATATACCAGGTATGTTAGACATGTGATAGGAAACATAATAATCAAGTTGTATCTGAATAGGTTTGGGTTATAGTATTTTATCTCTATAAATAGGATTTAGTATTATGTAATCAGTTATTAGATGATTAGTGAATAATATATCGATGTAGATTTTTGATCCGTGGATGTCGGTACAGTGTACCAAGGTAGGTATGCTGTATCGAACTACGTTATATCTTTGTGTCATATATTTATTGCTTTTCTTATATTTGAATTCCTATCTTTCAACAAGTATTATTTGTGTTAATTATCTACTGCGCAAAACCAACACAAAATCCCACCGAAAAACCTACTGAAAAACCCACAAAAAATCCATCGAAAATCCATTGAAATCCCACTGAAATTCCAAAAACGTGCCCTAATGTATGTGGGTCTGATTCATCTTGTGGTAAAATTTTGGTTTTCTAATGGGTTTTCTTGATTGCTTGTGTCCATATTTGGGTAAATTGTAATTGAATATGATGATGATGTGGCATGCTACGTAGTATTTGAACTTTTAATTATTAATAATTAGTTGAAATAATTAGTTAAAATAAAGACCGTTGTTAGAGTGAATTAGTAGAAGTTACTCTTTAAAATAGATATATAATAAAAAATATTATTTTGACTAACTATTTTAGCTAGTATCCTTAGAGGTAGGGCCACTGGGTGAGTGTGATGAAAAGAATTGAGAGGAGAAAGCAAAATGCAAGAGAAAAGATTTAGGTCATGATGTAAAATGGCAATAAACTACATGCTGAGCCCATAAATTTGAGACCCAAGGCATTTTACGTTTTTGAAGTATAAGGAAATGCACGTTATTGTACACGTGTTTTTCAGAATGTTCAGACTCGTGTGACTATTATATTGTTAAGGGAATTAAAGAGATACATAGGATTGAAATTTTAGATTACATTTTGATGTCGAGAATTTCTTCATTTTTTGTATATAACATGCGATGTATACCCGCGAAGTATTAGTTAGATGGATGAGCACCAATAAGACCAAATTTGTAATCATAAAAAAATGATAGAGAAGACGGAGCAACAGGATGGATAAACTACTTGGACATGAAAATGAAAATGAAAAGTCATCCCACTAAGAAATTTTGTTTAGTGTAGTTCACTTTGAGGAACTTATCTGTTTTCCACCACTGCAAAGTCAACTTGCTAAAGTAAAAAATGACTCCCGACCAAAAAAAAGAGTTAAAAAATGACTCAACACCGTATGGCACTGACCTTTAACAATATAATAATATTTTACAGGAAAACATTATAAATTGGAATTTCTCAATCAATACAATCAGCTAGCCTCAAAACAAGATTGTATTAGCTTAAGCACTACCTTCAATGCAAATCAACAACATACCAAATCAAGTCATCAATTGGAGCAGAAATCTTTCACTTTTCTCATTGTTGTTCATTGGTTTTATCTTCTGATGAAATTTTCAATAATTTGAGAGTCAAGATTATAAATATGTATGAAATAACTTTCACTACCAAGTCAATGAACAATTGAACATAAATTCAGAAAATTGAAATTTTTGTCAAGCAGCTCATCAGTCAAATTTGCCTTCAAATTTATTAGAAATATAACTTGTTTATGCATTATTCAAGTATCCATCCTCAGTGAAGCATCTCAACTTATAATTGTGTAACTAAAATAACAGAATCTGACTAACAAATTGAACAAAGCCGACAGGCATACCCAATAACAATCCATCATTGCCCTCGCTGTTAACTAATTATTTTGCCTAAATGTCATACCCCAATTCCATTCAACTGGTTTCAGTTCTCCTCATTATTTTTACCCAAACAGCTTCATCCTTGACAAAGGTGTCCTCAAGTATCCTTCCACCTCAAACTTCTTGGGTGAAAGCTCGCGATACTTTGCAAATTGCTCCCTTGCCTCCTTGTTCTTATCAAACAAACTATATATCATCCCTTTACAAAAATTGGGCCTAAAATCATTTGGGTCATCTTTTTCCAGCTCCTCATAGCTCCTTAGTGACTCCTCCACATTCTTTTGCAAGAACTGTGACAATGATAGGATTTTTGTGTGGGCTGCCCATCCAAAACCCAAAGCATCCAATGGGCCCAGCGGCTACATGATGGCCAATAGACCCCTCCGCAACCCATTTGCTCCGCAATAAGGAATGGGCATGATCCAAACAATGGAGCTCAACAAAAAGTTCAGCTTTACACAATCCTGCTCGGTCATAACAAGCTTAGTTGTAAGCAGCCCGGGAGTAAGGAGCTTGGAATTCACCTAACCCCGAACACCCCACATTGCGCCACGTGTCTAGGGGACTAGGGGATAGCTTCTGGAGCCACTAATGAACATGTACTCACTGGTAAAGAGAATATTTGTATACATTCCATTGAAGGACCGTGGATATGATTCGTGTCAGGGTAACAACCACCACTACAAGATAAAAAGGAGGGGACCATAGAATCAATCGGAGGAAGAGGAAGGTCGCAGAAAATTCCAGATAACCACTTGTATAAATAGAACACCATCACACTATGTAATAGATAGATCTGAAAAACCTGTATTCGCAAGGCATTGTTCGCTCAAGCTCTAAGCTAAGAAACCTATTGTAATCTTCTTCTTCAAGTAATGCAAACCCTACGGAGCAAGAACCTCCATTATAGTGGATGTAGTCCTGGTCTTTCAGTTAGGGTGAACCACTTATATATTGTTTTTGATCCCATTACATCATACTTTTTCTTTGTTAGCTCAAAACATTCATACTACCCCCACCCTTTCTTATGAGACATTGATCTGGACTTGGGCCGAGTATTTTTGAGCACTATCAAACTGTATCTGTGCTATTATCAGTCTCACATCTCTCACTTCTTTCACCTTTTTCTCATCCTCAACAATCTTCAAAGCTTCCTCTGATCTCGTTATCACTACTTCTCCCTCTCCACACTTGTCCATTAATAACACATTCTCAAACAATGCCTCAAATGAAAGTGGATTTCGAGCCAAAACCTCCTCAAAAACGTTCTGAGCTTGTTGGGTTTCACCCATTTCATTCAACAATCTTGCCATGAGGAATTTCCATTTTGTGTTTTCGGGTTGGGCGGAAACCAGCTTTATCAAGACTTCGTAACTTTCTTCATCTTCACCGGCTTCGAGCTTTTGTTGTAGTAATGTTTTCAAGGCCTCAATGGCTTCGTAATTCGATTCAAGAAATTGGGTCAACAGTGAACTTTCGGGCTCTTGCTCTTGTTGGGTATCTAGTTCTTCTGCTAAAGTTGGTGGAGATTTAGCTCTTGCCGGAAGTTGATGGAGTTTTTCGATGATTGAGAATGCAGTGACGATGAAAACAATGGTCCTAGCGTTGGCCTTGAGGCTGTGTATGATGGAATTGTGAAGGAGAGATTGGGAGTGGGGTTAGAGGAGGCTTTGATAACCTTAATGCGGGGCCTACATTGGGAATGATTAAGTTTTGAGATTGGCAATGGGAGGTTGGACGAAAGTGATGGTGGTGGTGGGTAGGGGAAGGTATTTGGTTTGGTGGTGGGAGGGGTGAGAGAAGAGGTTGGCATGAGGTGGAAGGGGGATGATTCGAGTGTTAGAGCTGATTCCATAGGTGGATGTAGAGTTTTGGATGAAGATTTCAAGGGATGGATTTTGGAGTTTTTTAGGTAAGAATGGGTTTTAGGGTTTTGGGGGCAAACATTGATGGGGTAGAGGTATAGAAATTGGGGGAGAAAGGTAACGAGGTCGGTAGGTGTTTTTTGTTCAAATAAGAAATAAAAAATTGTAAAGAGATACACGAAATTAGAGTTATTTGTTAAAAAATTAGGTCATTAAGTCCTTATTTTTAAAACTTAATTGTATCCAATATACAATTTAACTTTTTGTGATTTTCTTTTGATATATATATCATTCTTTAAATCATGCATATTTCTTTTGGTAGTTAATTAGAGTTTTGATTTTGTTTTATTATATTAATTTTTTTAATATAATGAAAAATTTATATTATCACAAGATTTGCATAAAACGTTGATTGTGTATAACTTTACCTTATTAAATTTTAAATTTTAAATTTTTTGTCATTATCGTTACTAGTAAACATCTCTTTCTTCTTCAAATTATTAGCTATTAGCATTCGAAAAAGTTCAAACATATTATATTTTTTTCTTCTACAACGTTCATATATTATCAGGTTGAACTTATACTTTCTTTCATTTTGTTTTATTTTGTTCCTTCCACATATTGCTAATTAGTTTCGGGTTTTTTTTTCTTCACAGTTTTTGTATTCGTTTCTATTTATTGTGTTGAGTGGTCACTTTTTGGTTAACTTTTTATCTTTCAAATGATTATTTGTTAATTTTAATATTTTTTTGTTTTATGAAAATTTTTTTGCAGTTTTGTTTTTTAATACTGAATACTAAATTGTGTTTTCTTCTTCTTTTATATGTTGTTTTCGTGCTGGTTTCTTCAGGACTAATAGATGCTATGTGTTTATTCAATTATAATTACATGGTGTACATAAATTTACTTTATAATTTGAATTCTTATGAAGTTATATTTTAAAAGTGTATCAATACAATGTGACACTTAAAGGTTTATGAAATTAAATGTCTAATTCTTATACATCCACAATCATAATATCAAATACATGTGATATACCCCAACAAAAAATCAACTACAATTACCAATAAAAAAAAGTGTTCAAGAATTATATGATTATGGCATATTTACAAAAATTTAAAGTGTATCACAACAGTATAGCAAAATAGTGTACGAGTAATATAAATTATGGTTTAAGAATTACACAATTTTAAAGTATATCAATACAGTATAAGAGTAATAAAAACTAGACTTCATAGTGTGACTTCATAGTATTATATATATGTGTGTGTGTATATATATTGACACATATATACGTGACCAAATTAAATCTAATGTAAAATTAAAATTCTTTAATTTTAGTACTTTCTAAGATAAGATAATTAAAATTCCTTAATTTTAGTTGTCAAATTTTAAAAGTTCCAAAAACTTTGAAACATTCCCTGAAAAAATGTAGAGGATTTATTATGGATTTTGATTTTCCTAAATTTTAGGTTTTTATTTTATTAGAATTCCTATATATATATATATATATATATATATACCAAAATTACAAAGGATCGCTAAATATCAAATACAACTTTCATTTAAACCAAATAAATTTACAAAGTTTACTTACAGACGAGGAGAGAATGAGGAAGAAAGAAGATGAAGATTAAATTACAAGAGAAGGAAGATAGAGGTAAAGAGAGATTCTGAAGGAGAGAGAGGGTCTGAAAGGGTGTGTCCAATAGACTAGCCAAGCATTGTTTTTAAAGGGGTCGGATGTGAAATTCAGATTTCAAAAAACTAAAATTTTTTTACTATTCACAACTTTATACTATTTACTGACGTCATTACATACATCATCTTCTTTGTTTGTGACGTCATGACTTATGTCACTGTTACTGTTGGTGACGTCATTGCTTCAAGGGTCTTCTTAACACCGTTTATGTAAAACCTGGAAAAATTTGAAATTTTTATGAAAAATGGCTAAATGGTAATTTGTCGCTATAATGCGGGTTTAAAATCTATATTTTTCTAGAGCTTGGATGATGCAATGGACCTCACCGTTGGATTCGTATCACAAAATCGAGTTGCCCTGTCAATTTTCGTCGAATTCTGAGATAGTCGAATTTTACACATTTTACGAGACAATTGGGTGAAGAATGACCTTTCAAAGGTCTCCAAAAATGATTTTTATAAAATTTCCTTAGAATTTTATTAAAGTTCAAATAAAATTAATTTGAACTTAAACCCGGATGTAATGAATCGTTTCAGGACGAAAAACGGACCTGAACAATTGGGGGGCGTGTGGCTCGATGCGAGCCAAGTCTTTAAAATTATAAATAGGGTTAAAAATCAGATATTTCAGCAGAAATATCTCTGCAATTCAGCCCTTAAATGTGTGGGAGAAAGAGGGAGAGAAAAGAGAGAAAACAAAGTTTCTCTCGACGATTCTCGGAGTTTCGTCGGTCGGAATCCGTCGAGCCAAGAGTTAAAGTCGATCACATCGCGAGGGCTACGCAACCACACCAAGAACAAAAGATTTCACCAGATATCGAAAGGGAAGATTTTGGGAAAATCAAGTTTTGGAGGTTTTGGTTGGTATTCTTGAAGTTCTAACCTTCGATTTACGCTTTAAGAGGTAGAGTTCCCTCTTACTCCGGTTCATTTCTAGCCTATAGTGTTCATAAGGGACTGTTATGTGGGCTATTTTGAGGCTGTTTTATGGGCTATTTTATGGGCTGCTACGTGGGCTGTTTTGGGGTCTATTTTTGGGACTGTTATGTGGGCATGTTATGTTTCTATATAAATTATGCCTTGTATGGAGATTTGATAAATGCCTTGAATGATTGAAGTGTCATCTTGGTGAAATTGAAATAACATGCTTGGATGTTATGGTATGTTGAAATCATATGCTTATGAGGTGATTTACATTGAAAATGTAAGTGTTGAAATGTGATAAAAGAACATAATCCATATGACATTCATTACACATGAATATGTCATGACTATTGAAGTTGCTCATTTGACATCTTTGCATTTTGGGCATGAGGTTGACATCACATTCATGGGCTTAGGCATAAGTGTGGGTGTGTATGCATGATATAATCAAACACCACTCTTGGATTTTGATATGTGGATTCAAAAATGTGGGATTGAAGATCCAATGGAGTCACATGGTTGCATAAGAAAAACTTGTGTCGGGTATAGTAAGAAGGGCTAGACACTCACTCGGGTGAAAAAACTCGACTATTTGGTTCATACACTTTCCTGAGGTGAAATTTCAGAAAAGTGTAATGGCGTATGGAGCCAATCGGTGTGATTCCGGAATCCGATACCAAACAAAGACACACGATTTTGTAATATAAAATATTTATTCGAAGGGAAACATCCAAAAATAATTTGGTTTTATAAACACATGGTTTGTATTTCAAAAATGATCATTGAATGTATTCCATCAATGATAAAGGTTTTTACACGTGCATTGCATTGTGTGAGGAGAGCCGGTGAGGGCTCGGGTGGATGTGCGTGAGTTTCATCTCATCTCATTCCATAGCATGACATGGTGAAATTCTAACATAAAATCTTATACTTTGTTTGGAATGTTGTTTGGTATGAATGTTAAATGTAACCATTGCATATGCACTTAGCTGGGGAGTAGCTTATGTAGGAATAATTCTGTTGGGCGTTAGCTCACCCTATATGGGAAACATTTCAGGTGTGAGATATACACCGGTGGAAGGCTCCCAATCCGAGCCCCATGGATGAAAAAAGCCGGAATGTGGCTTTTGTTTTGAAGCTTTTTGTAAAACTTTGTTTTTTGGACATGTAATTATATGGAATTACTTGCAATGGAACTTGTATATATAGAGTTTTATTGTGAAAAACTATATTTTTTCCAAAAACATTCACTAAGTTAGTTTTTGGACTGTTTTAATGAAATCGTGCATGCTATTATTTGTTTACTTTTAAATAGACCCTGTGTGGTCAATGTCGTCTATTTGACCTCGGATGGGTCATGTGATTGTTTGATGCACAAGTTGTGTTTTGGGTAGAGCTTCCCGTACAAAGGAGACTCTGCCCAAATTTTGTTAAATTAAGGACCCCCGATTTTTGGGGTGTCATAGTTTCTTTACTATAGACGCCGTTTAGTTACCTAGGTAGTAAATCATATAATTTAGCATTGGTGCTATTTTGGTGGTATAATTTTGAGAGGTATAACTTGTAATAGGGGTATATCCTTCTGAATCTATAAGGTCGTCATCAGAATCGATCGGAGTTTTGATTTTCCTGTCATCATCCTCAACTTTATTTTTGTCTTTATCCCTTATGGCCACAGTGGGAGTATTAACATGATCCATCTTCTCATTCTTGCCCATTCCAAAAATGGGCATCATTTGTAGATGCATCTCCTCCATAACTGCCACTTTGTGTTGTTCAATTGTTAAGTTGGGTTTTCCTTTAAAGAGTTTTTCTTTAAGAAATTCAATTGGATTTGATCAAATATTAGTACTAGTGCTACTACTGTGAACAATTTCTTTTGAGGTTACTTCCTCTTTTTCTATGTCTTTAAGACATTTGATTATAATTGGAATTTTTTCTTTAAGAGGATAGTTATTCCAGAATCTTACCTAGAATTCTCTTGCTAGCCTGTGATGGCCATTTTGATTAAAAGCACAATAGAGACTCCATACCCAAACCCAAGGTACAAAGAACTCTATTGAAAAATTCAATGTGGGTTTAACCTCAATTTTATTATCATTTAAGGATGGATTTTTCCCTATATAG